GTCTGCGCGCTTGGAGAGGAGGGAGGCGGCGGTGCGATCGCGTCACTTCCCGCCGGAGCGCCTCCCTTCCCTCCCCCCGCCACACCCTATGGAGAACCGGGTCTCGGTGCCTGCTGCATCAGCTTTCAGCTCCAACTGGCAGGATAGAGTGAGTTGAGTGCCTGTTGGGGAGGGGTCCCGTAGGGCAGCGTTGGGGGGAGGGGGGGAGAGGGAATAAAAGGTAAAGGTTCCCTAGATTGAAAGCCTGTCCAATCCAACTCTAGGGTTGCGGTGCTCATCTCCGTTTCAAAGCCGAAGAGCCAGCGCTGTCCGAAGACATTTCCGTGGTCATGTAGCCGGCATGACTAAACACCAAGGCGCACGGATCGCTGTTACCTTCCCACTGAAGTGGTACCTATTTATCTACTTGCAATTTCTTGCTTTCGAACTGCTTAGGTTGGCAGGAGCTGGAACTAGAGATGGGAACTCACTCCGTCATGCAGCACACTCGGGTCTCGAACTGCTGAACTACCGACCTTCCACAGCCCGCAGTTCAGCGTCTTAACCACTTGAGCCACCGCAGAATGCCCCTTTGCAAAAGGAGATCCCAAGATGGGGCGGAGGGTGAAGCCAGCACTTCTGGAAACCCGACTTTGCTATGAGTGAAGTGTGATGCTAGGTTCCATCACATCTTCTACGCCCCCCCACCCCAATCTTCCCTTTTAAAAATTTAAGTAACTTGTTTAAGCCACGTTGCTATTGTCAACAATTTCCTTCCTTCCTTTGGAGGTGGGGGGGAGAGGGAGCCTGGGGTGCATGGAGGGGCCTCCTGCAAGGCCTCCCTCCCTCCACCTGCCAGAGAAGTACCTGGACCTGCCTTGGAGGCCATGCGGGGAATTCAATGTTCCCTCTAAGCCGCGCAGTCTTGTGAGCAAAAATTCTACTTTGTGAGCTCCTGGCATTTAAGTTGCGAGCGGGCGATTGGGCTGCTGCATGAATTAGCTTGCTCTGGAGCCGTCCCTTCCTGAGCCAAGACAAGAATGTGTGAGCTGGAGGCTAAAAAACTGTGAGCTAGCTCACACTAAACTCAGCTTAGAGGGAACCCTGATCTTGAGTCGTTGGCTGTCTCTAATGGCCAGCCTGCCCCCCTCTGATCCGGTCTTTAGAATGGCTGGTTTCAAGGGTAAGCTCTGAGTGCTACACTGGTCTCTGTTGCTGCTGCCGTCCTTATGACTCAGAGGCTTGCTAGCATGAGGGCGGAGGCTTTTGACCTTGGACTCAGTTGTATGTGTTGACTGTCTGAAGACCGCGAGCTAAAGCTTAAAGCCTATTTTGTTTTTTCCCTCCTTTAGTGCCATTAAATGGAACTTCAGCAAGGTGAGTGCTCTGCTTCTGATATTTTTTCTTAAGTGGCGTGTGTCTTGCCCGGCTCCTTCCCCTTAAGCCTGCCTCTATTTCACGGGGACGGAGGAGGCAGGCAAGCCAGGGAGATGCTCACTGCTGGCAACCTGTGAGCTCCTCCCGTGCCATTCTGCCCTGCCTTCCTGCAAGGCCTGCGTCCTCCGGTGATTTAATTAAATTCAAAAATTATCTCATTTAATCTTAATTTGTTTTATTTCTAACTTTTAATTTACTACAGTTTGGTGTAGTGGTTAAGTGCATGGACTGTAATCTGGGAGAACTGGGTTTGATTCCCCACTCCTCCACTTGCACCTGCTGGATGACCTTGGGTCAGTCACAAGCTCTGGCACAGCTGTTCCTGAAAGAGACCTCCTCCTTCTCCTCCTCCTCCTCTTCTTCTTCTTCTTCTTCTTCTTCTTCTTCTTCTTCTTCTTCTTCTTCTTCTTCTTCTTCTTCTTCTTCTTCTTGCAAGAAAGCGGCTGCTTTGGAGGGTGGGTTCTATGCCAGTATACCCCTGCCCTCCTCAGTCTCCAGCACCAAATGTCCAGGAATTTCCCAGCCCCGAGTTGGCAACCTCATGCCTTCGGTAGAGTTTCTTGCTTCCCCCAGCGCCTGTCCCCGCAAAGGGCCTACCGTGTACTTGCTCCTCTTCATCCCAGCAGCCCTTGACCCCTAACCGGGAGGGGCTTCAAGAAGTCGACTGAGCTCCATTCCACACACGAACCACACCCCAGGGCACAGTCCCATTCTTTGCCAGGGTCAGGTGTGCATTTGCCAGAAATCAGCAGGACACTGTTGTGGCTTTGGGTGGGCGTATCTCCTGAAATACTTAGAGGCCATCCGGTGTTGTTCAATGGCTGGGCTTACGCTAGTTCCCAAAAGAGGTTGCACTCTGGAAAACAGCCCTTCTGCCACGGTGAGTTGGGCCCCCTCACATGGGTGCTTGGGCAGAGATCTTGCCTAAGACTTCAGGCCTAGGGAAGAGATGCATGGTAAATGGTAAAGGCGTCACCAGTCCCTCTTACCCTTTCGAGGCTCTGGTTTACCTGAAGAATTAGCCCCTAGGACAGACAGAGCCAAAGGAATGAGAGGCTAAGCTTGTAACATCTCTGAAAAGCCGGAGCACTTTCCCAAAAAATTCCAAGGTGGCATATTTAAAATACCTTTGTATGTAACATAGCAAAATGATATTAAACCCGGTCTACCAATCACAAGCAGCACTTTTGTTCTGATCCGTCAGTGGAATTCTCACGTCACGTGAGCATATGAAGGTTTGTGATGTTCAGTGGTGTATCTCCCTTCTCATTTTTCCTTGTGACATGTCCCTGTCTGTGTCTCTCCTTCCCCCCAGAGAGAAGCCTCTCTTCACAGCCAAGTGAATTCAGGCATCTTTTCACAGATGGAGGTGACTCAGTAGAACGGGCAGGACCCAGGAGGGCCTGGAACTGGCAAGACAACAAGCAAAGGACCCCTTCTCCTCCAAGCTGGGAGTGGCATTCAATTTGGCGAACCTCAGACGTACATGGCCAGCGCTTCTGGCAGTTCCGCTACCATGAGGCCGATGGGCCCCGAGAGGTCTGCAGCCGACTCCATGGACTTTGCAGCCACTGGCTGGAGCCAGAGAGGCACACCAAGAAGCAGATGCTGGACCTGGTGATCCTGGAGCAGTTCCTGACCATCCTGCCCCAGGAAATGCAGGGCTGGGTCAGAGGATGTGGGCCGGAGACCAGTTCCCAGGCGGTGGCCCTGGCCGAAGGCTTCCTCCTGAGCCAGGCAGAGGAGAAGCGGCAGGCAGAACAGGTGAGGGGAGTCCCTCCAGGTATGTCCAATTCAGGCAGCGATATCTGGCCTTCTCTCAAAGGGTCCCTGAGAGATATTTGTGCAAGTGTGAATCATCCAAAAGGGAGATTTTACAGCCTCCTTCAGCAGCCTCTTCTACTAGAGGATTTCTGATCCCTCCAGATAACTCACCAGGTCTGCTGACAGAAAGGTGCAAAGAATTATAGAATCACAAGAGTTGGAAGGGGCCATACAGGGCATCTAATCCAACCCCCAGCTCAATGCAGGGACAGCCTACAGTGTCCCTGAGAAGTGTTTGTCCAGATGCTGCTTAAAGAATGCCAGTGAGGGGGAGCTCGCCACCTCCCTTGGCAGCTGATTCCACTGTTGCACACCTCTTAATGT